ATCTGGCAATCTGCAAAGGCCCTAACTGTACATATTTGTACCTAAAGGGATCTTGCAGCACTTTTGAGGTTTCATCCTCCATGGCTGGGCTTTGTCCTTTTTCTTTTGCCTCCCCCTTATTCTTGGAATCGCCTCCTTGTAAACTTGTGGGCTGTTCTTTTCCTCACTGTTTTTAAATCCAAATTGAAAACTTGTTTGTTTTCTAAAACGTTTGGAACTTTGGATTAATAATTTATATCTTTAGCTATATTTGAATATCTGTACTGCCTATTTTGTTTTGTTTAGCATTATGTGTGTATGTGTGTGGAGTTTTTTTATTATTATGTTTTAATATGGTATTTTAGTATTTTGTTATTAAATTCTATATAAAAGTTTTATTCTGCAACTGTTTGTAAAGTGCCATGTACATGGATGGCCCTATTAAATAAACGATAATAGCTGAGGTTTCACATACTTGAACCTTCTTCCTCAGATGTCTATGAAAGCTCATTCTACCAACTTAAGTCTTTCAGTCTGGCACCACTTTAACTGCCATGTTCAGTGCTACAAACTTGTGGGATTTGGAGTTTTGTGAGATATTAGCTTTCCCTGTCAGAGAACTCTGGTGCCCCCACCAAACTGCAAATCCAAGGATTCCAGAGCATTGAGCCATGGAAGTTAAAGTGGCGTCAAACTGCTTTATTTCTGCAATAGCATGGCATAGTGATTTGAGTGTTGGACTATGACTCTGGAGAACAAGATTCAATTCCCAGCTTGGCCATAAAACCCACTGGGTGACCTTGGGCAGGTCACATGCTCTCAGCCTCAAGAAAGGCAAAGGCAAACCTCCTCTGGTGCCACCAACAAATCTTGCCAAGAAAACCCCATGGTAGCTTCATCTTAGGGTTGCCATAAGTCGGAAACGACGTGAAGGCACACAATGCACATGGTAGCATCCTGGGAGTAGGTCCCACTGAATTAACCTTATTTATGTGGAAACGTATATGGAGTGTCCTGCCAGCAGAGCAGTCATTCTGCCTAAATCAGAGGGACCCTCATTGTAAAATGAATGTGAACAAAAGTTTAAGTTGTGTATGAAAGTGCTTCTTACAATAAGATCAAAATTCTTTGTCCTTTTCTCCACAACGCTGATTACAGTATAACCAGCAAGGGGATTTCTGGTAATATCTAATTCTAACATATCTGAAAGCCTGTGTGGTGTAGTGGTTTGACCCTTGGATCAGAGTTCGATGGAGCCCCACCAAGTGACCTTGGGCAAGTCACACTTTCTCAGCCTTAGAGGATGACAATGGCTACTCTTTTCTGAATAAAATTGCCAATAAAATCCTGGTGTTGGTTTGCCTCTGTTGTTGTTAACTGCCTTCAAGTCGATCCCAACCCATGGCGACCCTATGGATGTGATATCTCCAAGACCCCCTGTTCTCCATTGCTTTGCTTAGGCCCTATACACACATATCTGTGACCTCCTTAATAGAGTCCATCCATCTAGCCTGTGGCCTTCCTCTCTTTCTACTTCCCTTCAGCTTTCCTGGCATTATTGTTTTTTTCCAACCATTTGTGCCTTCTCATGACGTGTCCAAAATAAGAGCCTAAGTTTTGTCATCTTGGCTTCTAGGGATATGTCTGGCTTGATCTGCTCTAGGCCCCATTTGTTTGTCCTTTTGGCTGTCCATGGGATCCTCAGCACTCTTCTCCAGCACCACATTATCTCAAATGCATTAATTTTCTTCCTATCATCTTTCTTAACTGTCCAGCTCTCACATTCATTAGGGTTGCCATAAGCCAGGAATGACTTGAAGGCACACAAGTTAGCAATGGGGAGGTAGGTGGTGAAGAGAACTGAAATATCAGTCTCACCGCTTTAACCCGGCGTTAACGTGGAACCCTGAATCTGGGTGGAAAGATGGTTATTTTTGCACAAAGAGTTTCCTAGAAAGAAAGTCCAACAATCTGTTCCATGAGCAAAGTGGAACATCGTTATTAGCACAAATCAGTAATTTTGTATAAGCTCGCATTGTGATGATGCAGAAACAAACATATCTATGCAGGCATTCTCAATCTAGCTTTAAAGGGGCACTGCCAGCCTTTGGGGTTGTTATTATGTTATTAACAACAGATTAAAATGGTTACTGAGCGCAAGTGGTGTAGTGGTTTGAATGTTGGACTGCGATTCTGGAGATCAGGGTTTGATTTCCTGCTTGGCCATGAAACCCACTGGGTGATCTTGAGCAAGTCACACACTCTCAGCCTCAGAGGTAGGAAAAGGCAACCCCTCCCTGAACAAATCTTGCTGAGAAAAACCTGTGAGCCTTAGGGTCGCCGTAAGTTGGAAATAAGCTGAAGGCACATAACAATTTAGCATGGTGTATCCACAGATTCCAGCCATAGGACGTTATCACACGGGGTCAAATCTGCTGGTTA